AAGATAGTCTACAATATGCCCATCACCCAATCTATTCTAGAGGTCAAATTGACAATTATAATTAAATATCATTTATGATCATGAAAAATATAAATATACATGAATATGTACAGTAGCTTTATTCATAGCCACCAAAACCTGGAGAAACAAAAAGCTCACAAACAGGGCAAGTAATTAAGCAAATTGTAATATGTCAATACAGTAGAATAATACCAGTTATAAAAAGGAACAAACTTGCTGTTGATATATACAATTTAGATGAATCTCAAAGGCATTATGAAAAATTATACAAAAAAGGATTCAATCTCAAAAAGTGCAAACTAAATGATCTTCTTGAAAAGGAAAAAAACTATAGTCAAAGAGGACAGATCATTTGTTTTTAAAGGCATCTGCCTAGCTTACTACAGACATTACAGATATTGAATGGATAAACAAATGAAAAATTGAAACCAAAGGATTAAAACTGAATTGAATGTACAAGGAGAATACATAGGTCCAATGGTTTGTATCTTAAAGGATCGTCAACAAAGGTAAATATAATCAGTGGAAACTTCTTTTTTTAACACATTGTAAACAGATGTCACAAATCAATGCTAAAAAGAATGGCCAGGGTGCTGACCCAAGACCACATCATGTGAGAGACTGCCAATGGCTTTAGATATGCACATTCTGAGGAAATTTTAAGACAGTTTTGCCAAAATAGTTCTTGGGAATAGGCTAACTCTGTCCAGACAAATATAAAACTAAGAAACTAGATTCAGAAACTAGGAATACAGCTGGTGAAACGCAAAGAACCTTCTTCATTTAACCACAGAGTAACAATTAGAGTGGCCAGACACTAGCAAGAGTCTTGGGAGGGAGGCAAGAGATACAAAATGAGAACTATTTTCAAACCTTTATTTCACCAGGCATTTAAAAAGGGGTTGTTTGTTAGTATTATCATCTCCTTGCTGAAAAGAAAGACCTTACCCTATACGATGAGCCATGTGTTAAAGAGTTGGTCTCTAGCCTGGCACTATTGGGAGGTAGCAGAAACTTTAAGAAGTAGGATATTGTGGGATACTTCCAGTCTGAGAAGCCTGTCCTTAAATGGAACAGTGGAGCCCCAGCCTTTCTCCTTTGTTCTCTTTTGTTTAAGGATTGTAGTGAGTTCTAGTTTGTTCTGCCATACGTTCTCTACCATGATGTACTGTCTCACGCAAAAACAACAGGACCTTTTGATCATGAACTAAAATCCCCAAAATTCAAGTCAAAATAAACCCTTTATCTTTGTAAGATGACTCTCTCAAGTATTTATTACAGCAACTAGAAAGCTGACTGACAAAGGAAACGAACACAACTTGCCCAGACTACGTTGTTGGTAGGTGGTACAGCAGATATTTGAGTCCAGGGATGGACAATTCCTAAAACATGTTCTTTTAGTTCAACTTAATTTTTTTTTGTTTTTGGTTTTTCGAGACAGGGTTTCTCTGTAGCTTTGGAGCCTGTCCTGGAACTAGCTCTTGTAGACCAGGCTGGCCTCGAACTCATAGAGATCCACTTGCCTCTGCCTCCCGAGCGCTGGGATTAAAGGCGTGTACCACCATTGCCCAGCTTAGTTTAACTTAATTTTTTAAGACTCAATAAAAATTATTTCTAAAATAATCTGTTTATGTCAAGCACTGTCCTGAAGCTGTAAATACCAGAATTAGTAACAAATAAAACATACTCTTTTACTTGAAAAAAACTTGTTAATTTATTACATATTCTGTAGAATGCCATAAGTATCTAATAAAGATACATCCTTTAGTGAGGTCAAAGAATTATTGTCCTGGGAAGAGTCATTACCAAATTACTACTAAGGTGCCTTCTCGATCTATGGCTCTATGGGTATGGACTCCTTGCACTGGAACAGATGTAGATATGATAGATTACTGGAAGATGAGGCACTGATATATTATAAAATTTAATTATATATTCTAGAGAAGGGAAAATGAAATTCTAATGTGGCTTTAAAAACATAGGGATAAGGCAGCATTTGAAAAACAACTGTCATATCCTATTAGAACCATAATAAAGTCCCAACAAACTAGAAATCCTAGCCCTGCTGTTACTTCAGAAAACCATAGATTTGAAAGGTTGTAAAGAAAAAAAATCTCATAGTTCTGGAGGAAGTCTAAATAAAATTAAGGCACCACCATGGATGATATCTAGTAAGAACTACTTTCTGTTTCCAAGGTGGAGCCCTTTTCTAAGTAGATTTACTTTATTTTTAGGTATATTTATGCATGTTGGTCTGTATATGGATATGCGTATGTGAGAGTAGGTGCCCTCAGAGAGAGTTGGATCTGGAGTGCCAGCTGGTTATAAGCCACCTGAAGTGGGTTCTGGGAATCAAATGTGAGTCCTCTCCAAGACTGATGTGTGTCCTTGACCATTAAGCTATTTCTCCAGCTCAAGATGCAACCTTCTTGCTGTGTTTTCTAGAGGGAAGGGCTGCTGCTTTAATATAGCTAAGGAGATTAAAATATCTTATCAAGGTCCTTTTATCCCATTCTTGAGCTCTTTTTTACTCAAGACTTCATCATCTCTTCAAGGACCTTCCTCTTAATACAATGATATTAATGATTAAGTTTTAATATATGAATTTGAGGGAGACTTATTCAGACATTAACAGCTATGGTACTGTAATGGTTTCTCTTGAATCTCAACTTATCAGAATGCTGAATATCTTAGGAGAAAAAAGTCATGATGTTACAGTAAAGGCATTTCCAGAGAATTTAAAACAAAGTAGGAAGATCCACCATGAATGTGAGTAACAACATCCACAAATGAATAAAGCCAGCCCCACCCTCTTCCTTATGTAGATACAATGTGGCCAGGCACCTTCCCATGATAGACTGAACCTTCAAGCTCTTAGCCAAATCCTCTCTTCTTAAATTGATTTTTACAGGTATTTTGTTACAGAAGCAATAAAAGTAACTAATACATAAAATTAGTGAAAAGTACTGGGGCTCTTGCTAAATCTGACCATGTGGTTCTTAGGCTTCTGGAAATGGTTTGGGAAAGAACTGTGCAAGAGTTTAAAGAGGCAACCTAGAGAAGCTGTGACTTGCATGTAGAGGTCAAAGGACAATTTTTCAGTCAGTTCTCTACTTAAACCTTTACATGGTTCCAGAAATTGAACTCAGATTGTAAGGTTTGTGTAGTAAACCCTTTTACACACTGAGACATCTTACTAGCCCAAAAGTTTAATTATCTAATTTTATAGTTTAAGCAATGTAGATGTGGGGTTAATTTAGTACAAAACAGGTGTTCTATAATAATCTTTAAATGAATCTATTTAGGTTATACTCAATATGTTAGACCTAAAAGAGGAGATAGAAACATGAAATTCAAACTTATTTACCAATGCTCTACTTAGATACTACATAAATTCACCCACCTCTGTGTTTTTATCAAAGTGATGCTGGTCAAAATAAAATGGGAATTTGACTTACAGCACTCATTATGTAGCATTACCTCCAATTTGATTAAAATTATCTACTATCAAGCCAGGTGGTGGTAGCACATGCCTTTAATCCCAGCACTTGGAATACAGAGGCAGGTGGATCTCTCTGAGTTCAAAGCCAGCCTGGTCTACACAGAGGGTTCCAGGAGAACCAGGGCTGTTACACAAAGAAACCCTGTCTCGAAAAAACAAAAAACAAAACAAAACAAAGCAAAACATAAAAAAAAAACACATACACAGGATTATCTGTTATCTCCTAATTGGTTTCTGGATTTAAGCAATAATTTTTTCTTTATATTCTCTCTACTTTCAAAAATATTTTAAATAGTTTAACATTAAAGATGCATATACATTAAGGTTAATAAAAAATTTTAAGGGGTCAGTGGGATGGCAGGTATACTTGACACCAAGCCTGAAAATCAGAGTTGATACCTAGGTCACTCTTGAGGTAGAAAGAGAACCTATTCCTGAAAGTTTTCTCTGACCTCCAGTGTAGAACAAGTGTATGTGCACAAACACACACACACACATGGCATAAATAAATGCTAAAAGTTAATAAAAATAAAAACTTGTTTAAAGTGTAAAGGGAATTATATGAAAATCTAGACATTTTTACAGTTAAGCATAAGACAGAAGATTTTTAATAACCAAAACAGAAATAGAAATATACAGTGATTCCTTCTGTTTACCTTAAATCACAACTAAAAGGCTTTCAAAATGATAAACTGAAGATATATGTCTAATATTTTTTCTTCTTTTCTTGTTTTTTTTATTTATTTGTGCTGTTTTATTTGGGGTTTGTTTCTTTCTTTTGATTTGTCTTTGAGGCAAAGTCTTACAACATAGCCCAGGCTGGTCTGGGAAGCTCCCCAGATGCAGTTATCACAGGTGCGCACCATCACACTTGGCTAGCTAATGATTTTTTTAATGTACGAATTCAGACCTATATAATGAGTATTAACTTCAACAATGATTTATGAAGGAAGCACAAAGTTACTAATGATAACAGCACTTGTTTATTATGGGCCAGGAATATAGCAATATAACATTTTTTTAAAAAAACCTTACACATAAATGAACATAATACTAAAACTGGTAGCAGAGTTGAGACCAGAATACTATTTTCCTAAAACTTAATTCAACAATTTTCCCATTGTGGTGCCCTACAATTATATTTAGATGAGGTTTGTAACACACATGCATGTATACATAAAGTCACAGTTCACATGCAACACCTAAGTGTATATACTTTTATCGGTATCAGTAATACTATGGAAACAAGATTAATCCTTTTATTAAATAAATACAATAATGTTAATTCAATTGTTACATTCACACGGCATCTATCAAACTAAGGACTTGCCAAACTTTGTTTATCCTTATCTGTGATGGTTGATTTTGATTGTTAACTTAATTGTAGTAAAAACACATAGGGAAGTGTCCCTGTGGGGGAATTTCTAAAGAGAAAGAGATCCTGAAAGACAACTCTAAAGGGAATTGGCCTGTTTACCTCCTTCAGTTCCTGCACAACAGCTGTGAGCCTCTCATTTTCTGCCTGGACATTTGTGACCACAGCCCGGCTCTGCTTCAGTTCATTCTGCATCTCCAAGATCTTGTTTAGATAATAAGCTTCCTTGGATGCAGACTCCTGTAGAAGTGTTTCCTCCCGAGTCTCTCCATCCTCAGCCACTTTACGATGGATAGAGAAGGATTGCCCAAATGCCTGCAGAGAATTTGGAAAAAGAAAGAGTGAAAAATGAAAAACAACTCATGATTTTTGAACAGCATTAGGCAGATGCTTTATACTGCTTTGTGTATAAGAAAAGCTATTCTGATGATAAAAGGGCTGAGAAAGAAATCAGAGAAACATCACCCTTCACAATAGCCACAAATATAAAATATCTCAGAGTAACTCTAAACAAATAATTGGAAGACCTGTATGACAAGAACTTTAAATCTTTGAAGAAAGAAATTGAAGAAAACACCAGAAAGTGGAAAGATCTCCCATGCTCTTGGGTAGGTAGAATTAACACAGTAAAAATTAACATAGTAAAAATAAAAGCAATCTACAGATTCAATGCAATGCCCAGCAAAATTTTTCACAGACCTCGAAAGAACGGTACTCAACTTCATATAGAAGAGAAAAAAAAATCCTGTACAATAAAAGAACTTCTGGAGGCATCACAATTTCTGTAGTCTACTACAGAGCTACAGTACTGAAAACAGCCTAGTATTGGAATAAGAAGAGACAGGAGGACCAATGGAACCAAATCAAAGACCCAGATACTAATCCATACACCTTCGAACACCTGATTTTTGACAAAGAAGCAAAAAATATCAAATAAAAAAAGAGAAAGCATATATAACAAATGGTGTTGGCATAACTGGATATCAACATGTAGAAGAATAAAAATAGAGCCATATCTATCACCATGCACAAAACTCAAGTCCAAATGGATCAAAGACCTCAACATAAAGCCAGCCACACTGAACCTTAAAGAAGAGAAAGTAGAAAGTACACTTGAATGCATTGGCACAGGAGACCACTTCCTAAATATAACACAGCAGCACAGACACTGAGAGAAACAATTAATAAATGGGATCTCCTGAAACTGAAAAGCTTCTGTAAGGCAAAGGGCACAGTCAACAAGACAAAATGACAGACTACAGAATGGGAAAAGATCTTCATTAACTGCACATCAGACAGAGGTCTGATCTCCAAAACATACAAACAACTCAAGAAATTGATCATCAAAAGAACAAATAATCCAATAAAAAAAATTCAGTGCAGACCTAAACAGAGAACTCTCAACAGAGGAATCTAAAATGTCTGAAAGACACTTAAGGAAAAGTTCAACATCCTTTGTCATCAGAGAAATGTAAATCAAAACAACTCTGAGATTCCATTTTACACCTGTAAGAATGGCCAAGGTCAAAAACACTGACGACAACTTATGCTGGAGAGGTTGTGGGGTAAAGGGAACACTTCTGCAGTGCTGGTGGGAATGCAAGCTGGTACAGCCCCTTTGGATGTCAGTGTTGTGATTTCTTCAAAAATTAGGAAACAACCTTCCTCAAGACCCAGTAATACCACTTTTGGGTATATATCCAAAGGATGCTCAATTGTGTCACAAGGATATGTGCTCAACTTTATCCATAGCAGCTTTGTTTGTCATAGCCAGAACATGGAAACAACCTAAATGCTCCTTGAAGAAAGAATGGATAAGGAAAATGTGGTACATTTATACAATGGAGTACTACACAGCAGAAAAAAATAGCAACATCTTAGATTTTGCAGGCAAATGGATGGAACTAGACAACATCATTTTGAGTGAGGTAACCCAGATCCAGAAAGACAATTATCATATGTACTTACTCATAAGTGGTTTTTAAAGATAAAGCAAAGAAAGCCAGCCTACAAATCACAATCCCAGAGAATTTAGACAACAATGAGGACACTAAGAGAGACATACATAGATCTAATCTTCATGGGAAGTAGAAAAAGAGTAAATTGGGAGCATGGGGACCTTAAGAGAGGGTTGAAGGGGAGGGAAGAGGCAGGGAGGGGAACAGAGAAAAATGTAAAGCTCAACAAAAATCAATTAAAAAGACATTTAAAGAAGAAACGCTACTCTGAAATACTTCTAGGTACAAAAAATAAAATAATAAAGTCCATTTACTGACAAGAAATAATGTCACTACTGCATCCCTAGGATTACCAGGCCATGGTGACTGGTATCATTCATGAGCATCATAGCTGGGTAGCACTGTTAGTTGCTTCCTGTCTTTGGAAGATTGCATGGTATTTTCTGATACCATGAAATCTAGTCCTCAGGGAGGAGGATTTCAAATAAGATCCAAATCAGAGGTCTCTGAGATCTGTGCCTGAAGTGCCTTGTTTCCTGGAGAAAGTATTGTCAGCCCAGACGGGAAATTTTCACTTAAACTATATATGTATATTTATACAAAGACTTAGGTATATTACAGGAACTTTTAGTTAACTAGTTAATAGTATGAGTCCTTATGACTTTTTCAGACAGTCTTACTGTTATTTTACCTTTCTTTTGTTATTGTTCTTCCCACTGCCTATTTAGAGCCTCCCACGTTTTCCATTTCCTCTGTCTGGCCCCTTGTCCTCTTTCTACTGTTACCCCACTCTGCACCTTGGCAATGGTGTCTTTTTACTTTCTTGATTTCTGCAGTTACTCCAAGATATGTGTGTAACATGAGTGGGCCTGCTAGTTTGTGATTTCTGTTCTCCCACCTGGTACCCCACAACCATTTAGCCCCAAAGAAAAATCACACTAAGGTCTCTATAAGTTATAAAGCTGATTGGCCCATTAGGTCAGGCTACTTATTAGCTCTTATAACTTATGTTATCCCATTATCCTTATCTATGTTAGCCACACGACTCAGTACCTTTCTTAGCTGGGCAGGTTACATCCTGTCTCCTCGGTGGTCTGCGCAGGAGTGGCAAAGGGAGCTTCCTGTTTCCCAGAATTCTCCTGTTCTCATTGCATCACTTCTACTTCCTGTCTGGTTTTCCTACCTATACTTCCTGCCTGGCCAATCTGCATTTATTTAAAACATGATTGACAGATTACAGACAATTCTCCCGCACCATATGTACTTATATCTGAAGATTTGGAGCTAGAGAACATGTGACATTTGTCTTTCTGAGTATGGGTTACCTCTTACAGTATGGTCTTTCCTAGTTCCATCCATTTACCTGAAAAGTTCACATTTTCATTTTTCTTTACAGCTGAATAGTATCCCATAGTGTATATGTAACATATTTTCATTGCCCATTCTTCAGTTGAAGGACATTTAAGTTGTCTCCATTTCCTAGTTATTGTCAATAGAACAATGGTTGAGCAAGTATCTGTGAAGTAGAATATCAAGTACTTTGGGCATAAACCAGGGAAAGGTATAGGTGAGTCAAATGTTAAGTTTATTTTTAGCTTTTTGATAATGCTCCAGAGTGGCTGGGCCACTTTGTAGTTCCAGCTACAAGGAATAAGGGTTCTCTTTTCTATACATCCTCTGCAGCATCGTTGTCCATTCTTTTGTTGATATTTGTTATTCTGACAGGGATAAGATGAAATCTTAGGGTTGTTTTGATTTGTATTTCACTAATTGTTAGAGATGAACAATTTCCAAGGCATTTCTTAGCCTTTAATTTTTCTGTATCTTTTTTGAACCATCTATTCTGGTCTCAGGCTCATTTTTTTTTTAAATGGGTCATTTGTTTTCTTTATTTAAAGGTGGTTTTTGTTTGTTTGCTTGCTTGCTTGCTTTTGTTATTGTAATTTAGCCCTTTGGGGTTTTTTTAGTTCTTTACACATTCTGTATGTTCTCAGACATATAGCTGACAAAGATCCTTTCCCATTCTTGGGCTTCCTCTTCACTTCATCGACTGTTTCTTTAACTGTGCAGAAGCTTTTTAGTTTTAGGAAGTAGAGCTTTATCAACTGTTGATCGTAATTCTTGGGAAAATGGACTCCAATTTAGAAAGTTTTTCCTATACCTATATCATGTAGGGTATTGCCTATATTTTATTATAGCTGTTTCAGTGTTTAGGGTTTCTCAATTAGGTCTTTGATGTGTTTGCTTTAATCTCCCATCAATCCCAGTTGGGTTTCCAGGACATAGACACATAGGCCACAGACATGCAGCTAACAAAAATTTATCTAATCTATGCTTAAAGCTTTATATTAAAACCACTTTCTGGTTTTAATGCAGAACGTTCCCAATTGGCTCATGTGTTTGAAAACTTGGTCCCTAGTGAGTGGCATTGTTTGGAAAAGTTATGGAATTTTTTTGTTAAGTAGGATCTCATTAGTGCAAATGTCATCTCTGAAGCATGAAATTTTCTATGTTCTTGCCTGAGTCTTCTCTGCTTCCTGATTCTGCAGAGATATAACAAGCAGTGGCCTCAAGTTCTGGTCAATACCAAAAGGCACCACCATGCCTTCTTTCACTTAAAGAACATCTCCTCAAACAGAAAAGCTAGAATAAACCCTTCCTTCCTGAAGTTGTTTCCATTGGGTATTATTCACATCTACGAAGAAAGTAACTATTACAAACACTAAACACATTTAATGAGTTGAAGATTGTATCCTAAACTTTATATATAACAATGAAAATAAAATTTGAAAGAGAACTTTTCCCACAATTCACTTATTTGTAAAATTTCACACACACACACACAAAGTCCAAGCTTCTTCACCTTGCTCCTCTAGAAGGTCTAAGTTCCTTTGCTATTTTGAAACAAATTGTCACTTGGTATTTAGAAAGGATGGAAGGCGATTACCTTCCATATGACATCTTATTTATCATCAGTATTCAAAGTCATAGAGTAGCAAGAAAACAGTGTACCATGAACTAAAACTAATACATATTTTCTCCTTGCAAAGTACTGTATTAAAGTTCATCAAAGACACACATTTCACAGCATACTAAAATGTCAGTTTTCTTCAGCAGTCCTACAGCAGCATCAATACTATGATTTTTAAACTACTATCAAAAAGTTAAAGGACATATAAAACAGAAAAATAAAATTAGCCATCCTGCAGCACAATGTTAACAATGTATAAGCATTGTTAACAAGTTTGGGCCCAGCCTGGGCCACAGAGCAAAACCTTGTGCCATTAGTTACTTAATTTCCAATATTGGTGCTTTTGATCTTAATCATTCTGACTGGTGTAAGATGGTATCTCCGTC